TGATGGTCCTAGGGACCTCTGCTCCTAGACTGAAAAGTTAATCACTTCCTTCCTTGCTATAAAATGTCTGCCTTTACATTTCCAACCTTCACAATCAGTTCTGATAACAATTATTCACTATTGTATCACAAGAGACCCATCTGCATTTCATTTCATCAACTCCACCTAGGCAGATTGGGTGCTACTCACTGGAGATTCTGCCTTCCTCCAGGCCCTTTGTCTCTCGGTTCCCTCTTGAAAGCTTGTAAGCCAGTCACTTCATGCCCTTGTAGCCCTCCCCCCCCCTCCCCCCCCATTTTGGGTAGCCAATGTCCAAGTTGCCCATCCCTGTCTACTCTGTGTGGAGGGGGTGGGAATGATTCTTGCTGTAAGAGAAGGCAAAAGCTTTAAAGTTAAATAATGAGTTTTAAGCAACATATCACAGTATTAGAAAAGATCGTTTTTCCTTACGTACGTAATGTATGTGAAAAGTTGGTAAGCTAAAGCAGCATATAGGGCAGCTCATCCTAGTTTTGGAACATTCTGGAAAGTTATTTTGTATCTTAAACAGAATGTAGCTTCTTGTGGATGCCTCTCACTATTCTTCATATCAAAATCACTAAGATTCCTACTAGCTTAATATGATAACCCTTAAAATATTTGAGGACAACAATCACATCTTTTTCCTTCGTTTAAACCCTAATGCATTTTTCTGTAATATGGTTTCTAGACTGACTTCTCATTTCCCATCCCCTGCCCCAAACCTTCACCTTATTTTCACTTCTGGATGCACTCATCTACCTTGATTCCTCAGAAAGTCTTAGGATTTCACACGTTTTCCAGATGTTGCCTGAGACTACGTGTGAAAGCTAAGTACCTCCTTTGTTCTGAATAAAACAGACTTGTTAGATCCGTATAAGACTATATTTTGGGGGATATCCATTCTAAAATTGACTACTGGCAGTCCCTGTGTTATGAAGGAGTTCCATTCTTAAGACTCTCTTTAAATTGAATTTGTACATAAGTCAGAACAGTTAGGTATGGTTTGTCTTTAATGTCAATTAGTTAGATATTTGTCTTAGTTTATAGTGTAACTTTCTGTGGATCAAAAATCTTAAAGAAATACTTCCAGATACACTAAACACTTTTAACATAGTTGTTGTTAAGTGCCGTTGAGTTGCTTCTGACCCATAATGACCCTGTATTAGGGTTTCCAAGGCTGTTAATCTTGATGGGAGCAGAAAGCCTCATCTTTCTCCTGCGGAGTGGCTGGTAGTTTTGAACTGCTGACCTTAAGGTTCACAGCCCGATTGGTAACCACTATGCTACCAGAGCTCCTTTTTAACATAGTAATACAGTAATAATGTTTGGTGCATCGCAAAGTAGTTTCTGTCTGTTATTATTCTGTTATTAAGAACTATTGTGTGTACCTAAAATTTTTAATATAATAGACTTTACAGGGATTGCTTCATAAGGAGTTATATGTAAATTGAATATTCATTGGATGGTCATAAGCTAGGGAGACTCCATATATCTTTTCACGTAAATTTTGATACAGTTTATTCCAAATGTGTCTTGTGCATGAACTTCTTCTAAACCAAAGTGCAGGATTTTTTTTTGGTATTTACTAAACTCATCTTGTTTAGCTTTGGATCATGGTTTAACTTTTGAGGTTTTTCTGATTTTTATCCATTACTAGCTTTTCCTTGGTAGATTTGACAAGTAGTTCTTCTGTGTCTTTACTGAAATTTTCAACAGTATGGGACCAGAGTTTTGTGGCTATACCTTTTCACCATTTCTAGCTTGATTTTTTGTTGTTGTTATTTAATAAATTTGTAAACAAAATTGAGGGGCAAGTTAGCTGGATGGTTCTGCTTTGGGGTCAGTTACAAGATTGCAGGCAAAGTATCAGCTAGGGGTGAGGTGAACTGAAGGCTTGACAGGCTGGAGGATCTGCTCTTCTTCTAAGATAACTCACTCACATGCTGGTGAGTTTGAACTGCCAACTTTGTGATTAGCAGTCCAGTGCTACTCCTACAGTGCCACACCAGGACTCCATTAACTCTCATAAGCCTACAATAATAATCTGTGTAATAATCATATGAGGCTTATAGTTTTTAAATGATGAAAAATATACCTAAGCAAAACATCCTCCAGTTTAATAGTTTGTACATGTAAACTTCAGTGACATGGAGTACATTCTTCACATTGTGCATTCCCACCCTTCTTTTCTGAATTATTCTTTCATACTCTACATGAACTCACTGCTCCCTAAATTTCTTCTCTAACCTTTCAAGTTACTGTTGTAAATTTTATTCCATATACATAGTTCTTTAAAATAGCAGTGTTCAAGACTAAAGGGGTTGTTTTTGGTTTAAAGTTTAACTATTTTCTTAGGGCAGTAGTGTCAGGGTTCATCTAGCCTCTCTGACTCCAGAAAGTCTGATTCCAGAATTTGAAATTCTCTTCTGCATTTTTCTCTTTCTTGATTAGGATTTTTTTTACTGAGTCTGTGATCCAAATGGGCAGTAATGGCAGGCTGCTAGTTTTAGTTCTATTTTTGGATGAGGAACCTGATGTACAGAAAGGGTAGTAGCTTGTTGAAGGTCATATCGCTTGAGCCCAGACAGCATGGCTCCAGAGCTTGTGTTCTAGACCACTGTAATTTCTGTAGTTTCTTTCCCTATGCTTTTTTGAAAATCAGGACAGTATTTGTTCAACTTAAGTTTTCTGGCAAATTTTCTAATGTTCTAATTTGCTATTTTCCTTCGTCAAGTGACTTTTAAATTTATTTCATTTAGCTAGATATTCTTGTAATAACAAACCAGAAGTCTTGAACATTAATTCTCTTGTAAGTATGCTTGTTATACCTTTTTAAAGAAATACTGCTCTTCACAAAGAAATTAGAAACTGGAAATGGATAATCCTATTTTTCTGCCATCTAACAATATATTTTCTAGCCCAAGAAACATTCTATTTTCTTACTGAACTGAATACCTTTCTAAAAGTTCTCTTTAGTGTTTTAAAATACTTTTGCAAGCTTCTGTTTATTCTGAGTTTTTAATTTCTTGATACTGTACTTAAATGTCTGGTTATACGCCTCTAGATTGTATACACTAAATTTAGTTCTTTTGTAAGTACATGAAAAATCAGAATTTATTGTTGATGTCATTGGTTAGTTACACTGATTTCTTTATTCATTTAGAGTATAACAACATATATTTGGTACATTGTAATTATGCTAAAAGTCTTTGATAAAAATTCAACAAAGCAGAGTCTTAAAAGTCAGTACTTCTTTTGATGAGAACTTTTCAAGAATTTTCTGCAAAAGTTGCATCAAAGCAGCAACTTTTTAAGGAGCCCTGTTAGTGTTGTGGGTTACATGTTGGACTGCTAACTGCAAGATCAGCAGTTCGAGTCTACCAGGTACTCCGCGGGAGAAAGATGAGGTTTTTTGCTCTCATAGAGATTTACAGCCTCGGAAACCCTATACATGTTTACTTGTGTACATCACCACTGCCCCACCACCACCAGTTAATAAAACAAGATAAACTATTATCATTTTCAGGAATGATGCTATAAAGACTCAAGTTAGAGTTGTACCAGTAAGTAAAATTAAGAAGCAGCTGACTATGCAAATGACTAGGACTAATGCCAGTATTATAAGGTAGGAAACAGTATTAGGGGATAAGAGGTACACATGATGATAAATATATTAAGCATTTACTGTGGCTGTGATTTGTGGGGCATACTTTTAAATCCAGGGATTCAGTTAGTTTCTCTGGTAGTCTTTCTTTTGTTTGATATAGGACATAGCTTCAGTAGAACAGAATTTAAAAAGTAATTTATTGTAATTTTGTTGCTGAAAATGTGCACAGCAAAGCATACATCAGCTCAACAATTTCTATAGGCACAGTTCAGTGACAATGATTACATTATTACAGTTTGTGTAACCATTTTCACCTTCCTATTCCAAAAGATTCTCCACTGCTAAAATAAATCCACTGCCCCCTGAGCTTCCTAACTCACTTCTCGTTTCTTTTGTTAATTTAATCCCATGTATATATGTAATGCAGATTTTTGCTTTTCATTTGTTTGGTCTCTTAGATAAATGTTATCATTAGCTACTAAAATAACTTACAAAATTAATATTACAGGTGGAACAGAATCCATTATTGGGGTTTGGCGCCATAGCAATTGCTGTATTATGCTCAGGATTTGCAGGTAAATCATAAAACCATTTTATTCTGCTTTCAAAGTTTTTGAAAACATAAAACTTTAAAGAAGGGATCTAGTTTATTTTGCTTTATTATAACAGTTTTCTTCTCTTTGGAGCTTTATTTTCTTACTTGTATGTAGTTACTTAGTTTTGTGTCAGCTGTTTTTCTAGTAAATTTGTGGCAGTGTTAAACTCAGTTCAGACCTCAGTCCTTAGTGGTACATTGCAGTTATACAATATACTTTTGCTAGTCTTCACCATCCACAGTTCAGTCAAAAAACCCAGTAGTAGTAAAGTGCAAAAACATTTCAGAGAAAATGGAGGAAATTAGCTGTCAGAAAGGGCAAGTATTTACTTCCTTTCTTTGGAAATAGTGCTATGCTGAAGCTAGAACATGCTGCTTTAAGTTATTGATACTAGCAGTTCAATATGCTTTTCCTTGATGAGCACAAGTTCTTCCTCTGCTTCAATAGATGATGAATCATGTGCAAAGGTAGGAGGAGGAGAGGAGTCTCTCACAAAATTAAACTCATAAAAGTAACAGCCAAAAAAGGAGGAGGTAAACATAAAACCAGTAACCAAAAACAGTAGTGGCAACTGAGGTCACATGTGTCAGGTCAGGCAGTATTCCAGTGAATCAAGAAAAGTCAAGGAAGTGTGAACCCTAAGTGTAACATGAAAAATGAATTTGTGGTTTGGAAATAGTTCCAACAGAAAAACGTAAGCTCTTTTTATTGTTGTTCAGTGGAGTCAGTTCCAACTCATAGCTACCCTGTATAGGTTTTCCAAGAAGTGTCTGGAAGGTTTGAACTGCCAACCTCATGCTTAGCAATCCAGTGGTTATCCAACAGTGCCACACCAGTAAAAAGTATATTAGTTTTAGCTGTAAATTTTCATTATCTTTTCTTTTTGCTATTCCAAGAATTAGTAGTTTTTATTTTTTACTATGAAATCCAACTGGATATGGGAAATGAAATATTGCTTGTAAACAAAATATTTTATAAGACACGGGTAAAATCTAAATTTAGGAATATATGTAGCTAAGTAAAGATAATTTTAAACCAACTGCAGCATTAACAAGGAACTGCCAGAGGTTCAAGCCAGATTCAGACAGGGACATGGTCCTAGGTATATCACTGCGGGTGTCAGATGGACATTGGCTGAAAGCAGAAAAAAACAGAAAGATGTTTACCTGTGCTTTATTGAGTATGCAATGGCTTTTGACTGTGGGGATCATGACAAGCTATGAATAATGCAGAGAATGAGTATCATGGAACACTTGATTGTGTTCAGACAGAACAAGACGATACTAAATGGTTTAAAATCAGGAAAAGTGTGCACTAGGGTTGTATTATTTCACCATATTTATTTAGTCTGTATGCTGAACAAATAATCTGAGAAGCTGGATTATATGAAGCCTGTGGCATTAGAATTGGAGGAAAACTCATTAACAACCTGTGATATGCAGATGATACAACTTTGCTTGCTGAAAGGGAAGAGGACTTAAAACATTTACTGATAAAGATCAAAGACCACAACCTTCAATATGGGTTGCACCTAAATGTAAAGAAAACAGAAATCCTCACCACTGAACCAATAAATAGCATGATAAATGGAGAAAAGACTGAAGTTGTCAAAAGACTTCATTTTGCTTGGATCCACTATCAACACTCATGGAAGCAGCCATCGAGAATTCAAGCCATGAATTGTATGAGGCAAATCTGCTTAGTGTTCAAAAGAAAAGACATCAGATTGAGGACTAAGGTGTGCCTAACCCAAGTCATGGTGTTTTCAGTAACTTCATATGCACGTGAAAGATGGACAGTGAATTAGGAAGGCCATAGAACTGATGCATTTGAGTTATGTTGTTGGAGAAGATTAAAAGTACCATGGATTGCTAGAATGAAAAAATCTGTGTTGTTAGAAGTACAGACAGAATGCTTCTTAGAAGCTAGGATGGCCACACCGTATCTCACATACTTCAGACATTATAAGGAGGGACCAGTTCCTGGAGTAGGAGGTCATGCTAAGTAAAGTGGAGGGTCAGAGGAAGACCCCCAACAAGATGGATTAGCTGGCACAGTGGCAGCAGCAATGGGCTCATACTTAATAATGATTGTGAGGATGGCACAGGGACTGGACAGTGTTTTGTTTTGTTGTGCATAAGGTCGCTATGAGTTGGAATTGATTTGATGGCACCTAATAACGACAAAAAAGTGAATATGGAAGACCGTAGAAGAATTGATGCTTTTGAGTTACGGTGTGGGAGGAGAATTTTGAAAGTGCTATGGGCTGCCAAAAGAACCAACAGATCTGTGTAGGAAGAAGTGCAGCCACAGTGCTCCTTGGAGGCCAGGATGGCCAAACTTTGTCTCATACAATAGACATTGTCAGGAGGGACCAGTCGCTGGAGAAGGATATCATGTTTGGTAAGGTGTAGAGGGTCAGAGAAAATGAGGAAGACCCCCAGTGAGATGGATTGACAAAGTGGCAGCAGCATCAGTGGGCTCACGCGTGGCAACAATAGTGAGGTTGGCCCAGGATCATGCAGTGTTTCCTTCTATGCATAAGGTCACTATGAGTCGGTACTGAACTCGATGGCACCTAACAACAATTAATGATAGCATTATGCTAAACTTATTCCTAGTAGCTAGCAAATTTATTAACAATTGATCCTCCCCCCCAAATACACTATTTGATTTTTAGCATCATTTTTTAACAATTAAATATTTGCATCCAATGTTCTATTTGGTTAAGTCTTTCAATGCACAATTAAGGGAAGAATGGGTGGCTTAATAGCCTTCTATGCTTGTAGTGAGTAAGCATTAAATAGTTAAGTAGCTTTTCCAGTTGGTAAAATCAAAGGTAGAAAATAGGAATAGCTATTGTGTTTTTTTCTGGCTCTTTCCAGTCAAAACAATCTTGTTTTTCCTTAGAATTTTCAGTTGGTAAACATTTTATAGACAGTTCTAAGTCTCTAATTAACATAATATTTATAACCAAAATCTTTAACATCCTTGTTAAACCTATCATTTATTGTAAGCAATAGAATATGGCTTTTTGGGGACATCATAGTAACTGAGAAAAGCTATGGACCTTCAACCTTAGAAAAATGCACATTACACACAAAATTTATTATCTAGTTAGGGAGGGAGTTCATAGCCCTTCTGAAATTGTACATGAACTTGATTTTGGAGCCCTGCTTTAAAGGAAAATGAGCAAGTTCTATTTAAATTTTATCTTGTTTTTTTTTTTTTTCTGAAAAAATTCGAAGTGGTGATTATGAAGTATTTTTTGCAAAGTTCATTACTAGACACATATTAGACGTTTGATTAAAGCAGTTCACTCTAATAGTATAGTTTTCAAGCTGACTAAAAGTAAGTCTTTTAGTGACGTTAAGTAGTACACAGAGCTTTTGTGATCCATCTTACTGCTACAATATAGGCAAAAACTATTCTTACTAATTACATAACAGTCTGCTATTAAACAGGACTTTAAAAAATTTCCTTATTCTATTGCTGTGATCTGTAAAAATGCAAATTGATGTTCAGTATGCCATGTTACAACCTAAAATTTATATTTAATTAACCTAAAGAATGTTTGTCCCTAAATCATATACCTTCTATTTCCTAGGTTATTCTAAATCAGAAACACTTAAAGTTAGTTTCTGTTATCTTCATTTAACTTCATATTTGCATATCTAATTTTGTTTCAGGAGTGTATTTTGAAAAAGTTTTAAAAAGTTCAGACACTTCCCTTTGGGTGAGAAATATTCAAATGTATCTATCAGGGATTGTTGTAACATTAGTTGGCGTCTACTTGTCAGATGGAGATGAAATTAAAGAAAAAGGATTTTTCTATGGTTACACATATTACGTCTGGTTCGTTATCTGTAAGTATCTGGGAATTAAAGATTCTGGGTAGATCCCTCCTCCTTCCCTATTTTTAAAGTTAGATGTCCGTTTTAAGCCCTTGCTGTGTTTTGATATTGCTTTGAAACTATGAATACCAGTTTGAAAATGTAATTCTGGTTTTATTGACTTACTTTTGTGGCACAGTTATCCCAAAGCAATTTCCCCTTCACAATCACAAGTATCTAATGTGTTAGCAATAAATGTGTATAATTAGTAGTAGACCACATAGCCCACTGGGCATTTGAAATGTAATGTTATGTAGGAATAGACTACTCCATTTTAATACAAATTCTCAAACGGCTACTTTTAAGGAAAACAATATTTTCTATGTAAATTAGTATGTTATCTCTGGGGATGAAACTTGTCTTACTATTATAGGATGGCTCATTTACTGGAATGCTAATGTTTCCTTTCTGTATACAAGTTCTTGCAAGTGTTGGAGGCCTTTATACTTCAGTTGTAGTCAAGTACACAGACAACATCATGAAAGGTTTTTCTGCTGCAGCAGCCATTGTCCTTTCCACCATTGCTTCAGTGATGCTATTTGGATTACAGATAAGTATGTCTTCATTTGTATTGTTATTAACAAGTAGGAGCCTTACTTTCTTGATTTATCTAATTAAACTCTCACTAAAAATGGTAGTTAGTCATGTTGTCTATAGAAATGCCTAGCTTTGTTACAAACTTTATTCTACAATTGCAGCAGTTATAGTTATGTGGAATGTGAGTAAGCAGTACTTAGGTTGTTTAAATGGTCCCCAAACTTAAGTTGCTAAGTCCTTGTGTGGCGCTGCAGGATCATGCACTAGACTGAAAGGTCAGTTTGAAACACAAGGTCAGCTGTGCAAACCCACCAGCTGTTTGTTCCTCAGAAACCCTTACACAGGGTCATTAAGTGTCAGAACCGACTCAACAGCACTTAACAACAAAGCTTAAGTTGAGGGGTTGTTGTTGTTGTTGTTAAGTGCCATCGAGTCGGGTCCGACCCATAGCGACCCTGTACAGGGTTTCCGAGGGTGTAAATCTTTACGGGAGT